CCCCCCCCCCCCCCCCCCTCCCTTTTCGACTTCCATTCAAAGTTCCTCGCTAAGGCTGGGCTACGTTCAACGAAGGGATGGAGAATTCAACCAGTGAGAATGTTAATTCCATGAAAACAAAAAGAAAAGATGCATGAAACTCTACCCTAATTTGGGGTGGGTCCAATGAAAAATCGCCTAAGTTCAAGGATCAGTTCGAGCATTACCTACCCATTGTAACGTTGCTTTGCATAATCTTCTTCCGTTGTACTTTACTCATCGATGATGCAAAAGCTCGTGATGTGACTTTGAATCTCTAAAAATAAGAGTTTTCCTTATAATCTGCACAATATTGGTCATTTTGGGGATAGCAGAAAAACCTTACCTTACGAAGTAGAACAATTACTACAACATACATTGAGCCAGCTATTATAATACATGACCATCGGTAGAATACCAGAAATGTCCTGGAAAAATACAATAATGAGCAATTGAAGGGAGCAATGCAATGCTCAGTTGTTAGCTTATAGCTATCCAAATAATAGATTTTAGTATTTTGTATGTGAAGGATAAAGGCGCAGGTGGTGTAGCGGCGAATGGCGCACTATCACGTACCCACGGAAGCGGGTTCAAATGCTGCGTAACTGGCCAAGTCAATCAAGTCTTCTGTGCCTCCGGAGTCGATTAATTGATACCAGACCCGTCTGGGAGGGTGAAAGCAACGACTTGTACACCTTCCAAAACCGAAACTTCCAGAACAACCAAGAAATCCTCTTGATAAAGCCAAACTCCGGCAGACACTTTGCACCCGAAAAAACAGCTCTTCGTTAACAAGGACCAGATACTTGTGGTGGTCGAATAAAGGCACACTCCAAGAGAGCATGACTGTGAAGCTCTTCTTCTTAGCCAAGAAGTGGGTTTCCCATAAAAAATAGAATAATTACCCGAATCCTGGATATGTTGAATCCGAAAAATTGCACAAAATACTGATCATATGTGTCCTCGTAGTATCGCTTGTGAGAACCAAAATCCAGTTTAGAATCAACGCCGCTATTGACATGCTGTATGCAACTGCAATAGGGCTTTGAGTAAATAATGCAGCCAGTCCACCATATATGTACATTCATACCTACGAACTTGTAAAGAAATTTTGTCGATCATGTGAAGTAAATAGTGGTCAGTTGAGTATTCAATAGGCAGCGAAGAGAGGTACATACAGTAACGTTTGCAGGGATTCGGCGAAACAGACTTTTGATGGAACTTTTTTCTCACTGAACTGGATTACTTGAAAGTCAACCAAGTCGTCCCTTGAAGTTACGTCAAGAGAACACTGGATATCTCACTCCCACAGGAGAAGCTCTTCATCTCTATGGGCAGGACTATCATCAGGCGCACAAAAAAATTGAAAACTTTGTTGCAGAAACCAGGATGCCCTTATCAAAAGCAAATAGAAAACCCGTAGGCCTGCGAAAGGTTTCGGTAACGCAAAGCGTTGGGTAACTTTGCATCGAAAAAAAAGCTTCACTGGGTACCTAATTGGCCATGACTTTTTCCTACTCTTTTCCCGGGGCCTTCGAAATCTCAGCAGCAGTTTTTCCGTCTAACCCCAGGCTAGAGGTAGAAGTAATGTAGTGGCTAGTGGTATACTACTACTACTTATGCATGGCTCGGAGATCGAATCCTCTCAAAGCTCAAGTCAACCCTGCGTTCCATCTTTCCGGGGACAGTTAATTGGCATCAGACTCATCCGGGAGGATAAAAGCACTACCTTACACATAAGCTGACCAGTTCAAGTCTTTGTATAGGTCACATACGCTCTGAAGACAATGTAAGCCATGGGGCGAATCTTAAGATGGGAACGATTGCCTCCAGAAATAAGTCAAGAACCAGGCCATGGTGATCCGCAATGTTTCAGCACTTATGGCTGTAGGTACTACTTCTACGTTCCCGATCTGGTGACTCTAACCTTCTAGATCGTTTCCTATCTGACAGCTTGAACCGAGGTTGTAGCTGACATTTTCGGAATAAGCAGCCCGAAGAAGAGGCCTCAAGAAACCACTCACTGCCTTCAATTTTTTTTACTCATCTTTAAATCTTTTCAATAGACGATGTACTTACTTGAGAGTAAGATGATAGGGTATCGAATCGTGGTCTGAAAGTACCATATAGGGAATACGGCAGCCAAAAATCGATCCAATGCAACTACGATGTTCATTTGACCAATCAGCGTATTCCCAAGGAAGCACAGAATAGTCGGTAATTGGGTCATGCATTCTTGTCGATATACCATAGTACCAGCTGGAAAAGTTGACTTATAGTCGATTTACTCATTACTGTAAGTTACAGTTAAGTTAGTTACCGGATGACAGGTATTCGAGTCGTCTTGTGACCGTAAAGAAAAACCCGAATGCGTAGATAATATCACCAAGTGCCATACCGGCGATAATCAGAAATTCACGTCGCCCGCGATTCTTCTTTCGAAGTATAATCGTCAAAACTAGCGGCAAATTGATGATAATTAAGAAGAAACCTAAATAACTGCTTGAAGAACCTGAATGTTCCCTCAGTAAACTTGATTTTTCAGTTCTCGCTACAGTCTGCCATTGCTCTGAAGTAGGTTACCAACAAACCAAAGCTGATCAGAATTTGGAAGTTTTTTTGTGTATTAAACGCACATTAGAAATTTTTTGCTGTATTCAGATTTCACTACTAAAGTCCTTGGATCGCCTTGAAAAGGAGGATCGGGGTTTGGTCGAGTAATCTGAGCTGGTGGTGAAGGGAACATAAGCGCGGGTACGTACAATATCATAAAATTGTAGCACATTCCTGAGTTCATACTCCTTTTCAATTAATTATATTTTTATGAGCTGTGTTCCTAGATAGACCGGAGATGGTGTGGTGACAAGTGACGCAACGCTTTCTCGTATGATTCGATGATCGAATCCCGTCTCGGACAATCTAAGGACTCTTCTGTGGTTGGTTAGTAGGTGCCATCTGGAGGGATGAAGGTCGTAGACTTGTACACGGGTTCGCCACCACAAGTATTAGGTTGTAAGGAAAGTTCTGGCCGTTTTGTCAGCTAACTTTCAAAAAGTTATAACTAATCTCAAAGTGAACATTTTTATTCAAAATAAGCCTCATTCGATTTCACACATTTTCGCCAACGTGATACAAGTCTGTTTATCCCATTCTTATGAAAGTCCGGA